TTCCGCTCCGCCCCCTCCTTGGGGGTCTGCGCGGGAGCTTCAAAGGCGTCTTGTGATTTGTTGCCTGTCTTCATTTACATGGTGCTCTCGCCAATTGAAGAAGGAGCGGAAAAGTTTTAAAGTGGCGGGAAATTCAACGCGCCAGCATGCTCTCGGGAAATAGGGGAGCTCTACTGGAAAAGCACGCACGGAATTGCACTTCTAGCCCAAAAGCCGCGCTTCTCTCGCGGTGAATCCATCAGCACCTCTAAAGGGGAAAGATAGGCAAGCGCCTCCTTTTTACACCCTCAGAAACTGCATAGAGGGTCAGCGTGAGGTGGTTCCATCTCTTAGCAGTGACAGTGGGTAGGCAAAAGTCTTCATTGATGCGGAAATATCCAATGATAAGAGACAGAATACAGAAAATCATTCTTCCAAAACAAATGGGACATAGTCCATTTCAGGAGAGAATATATGATCAAGGACTAACGGTATTGAAGAAGGAAGTCCCATAGGCACTGGTTGTATGGACCCAAAATATATTCCAGTAATAACATGGTACACAAGTTAAGATTTTATAGTACAGAGAAAAGCCAATGTTCTTATTGTTTGGTGCCCTGAGTCTCCCAGGATTCACAGCGACCTTATGAACAACAGAGCTGAAGTTTCCCTTATCTTGTTCTATTTACACCATCTCTGACATACGCAAGCCCATTGTACAGTAAGGTGTCAATTCATCTTGTTGAAGGTCTTGCCCTCTCCTTCTCTGACCCTCACCTTTCCCAGCACGAAGTCTTTTTCCAAGAACTGGTCCCTGCTGATAACATGCCCAGAGTATATGAGATCAAGTTTCATCATCCTTGCCTCCAAGAAGCACTTTTCTCCAAAATAGACTTGTTTATTCTTTTGACAATTCATAGCATTAGGAAGCTTTGGTGGCCTAGTGGGAAGGAGCTGTACTGCAATCTCCAAGGTATGCAGTTTAAATCCACTAGTTGTTCTGTAGAAGAAGGATGCACAATCTCCTATCATGTGATTTACTGCCTCTGAAACTCGCTTGGAGGGTCAACTGTGAGTTGCTTTGGACTCAATGGCACACAAGAACAAGGATATCCAGCAGTCTTTTCCAACATCATAAGGAAAAAACAAAAGTCCTCACCAGGGGACAAATAGCCAACATTATGACAGAGAAAAGTTTGAGTTTGTCAATGATATAGTTTTATTTGGGCCCACAATCAACACTCATGATAATAGCACTTAAGAAGTCAAAAGACCTGTTATAAATAAGAATATTTGCATTGGTTATTCAGTGGTAGAATCCTTGCCTCCCATAAATAACAGTATTTATGCAATATTTGTCTTTTTAAAAATTTTTTATTTTTGTGGATGTGTACCGTCAAATCAGATCTGACTGGTACAGGAGGAGATTGCTCCTCCTTCTCCAGCAGAGCACCTGGTGGATTTGAATCTTGTGCCTCTAGAATTGCAGTGCAGTTTCTTGCCACTAGGCCACCAGAGCTCCCTGCATAATTTGTCTTTTGTGACTGAGATATTTCACTCAGCATAAAGTCCTCCACGGTCACCCATATTGTATAATATTTCTCCCGCAGAGTAGTTGGTGGCTTTGAACCATGTGCCTTCAGGATTGCAGTGTAGCTTCTTGCCATAGGCCACCAGAGGTCCCTCCTTAAGCAAATACTCATATTTAATAAACATAGTTTTGTGCCATTGAGTACAACTTACAGCGACCCTATGAAAAACAGAACTGAACCGTGTTCTATCCTGTGCCATCCTCACACTTCTTGACACACCTGAGCCTATTGCAGCAGTCACTGTGTCAATCCACGTCATCAAGGGTCTTCCTCTCCTTCACTGACCCTCCACCCTTCCCAGCATCATGTCCTTCTCCAAGGAATAGCCCCTCCTAGGAACATGCTCAGTATGTGAGGCAAAGCCTCCAAAGAGCACTCTGGCTGCACCCTCTCCAAGACATAGCTGTTTGTTTTCATGGCCGTCCATGGGATGTTTGGTGCTTTTCTCCAACACCACAGCTCAAAGGTGTCAATTCTTCTTCTGTCATCCTTATTCATTGTCCAGCTCTCAGATGCATAGCAAGTGACTGGAAAGACCGTGGCCTGATTCAGATGCATCTTAGTACTCACACTAACATCATTACTCCTCAATTATTTGGAGACGTCCCTATCTGCAGATTTTCCCAGTGCAATGCATCTCCTTATTTCCTGATGGCTGCTGCCACTGAGCCATTTTGTTGAGAGACTAAGATTACACAGCAAAACTGTGGTAAGTGAAATTGGTGTCTACTGACATCCCTGGGGTTAGTATATCAGAGAGCTCCAGTGGACTCATCATAAGGATCTGCGCTTCAATCCCAAAGGCATGTGGTTCAAATCCACCAGCAAGACGGACAAAATAAAAATGGGCAATCTCCTCCAGTGCAATGAAACTGCCTCTGAAAACCCGCTGGAGCATCAGCTATGGGTCAGTTCTGACTTGACAGAACACAACAACAGAGTTAGTATCATCCTTTCTGGAAGCAAACACTGTTTTATAGCTTTGTGGGTTTGGGGCCACAGCTGTATGCCACCTAGGCCCATCATTCTGCTGTTGCTACCCCTTTCCCACCTACCATCATCACACAGACCTCTCTGGTGTTATAGCTCTCCAACTCAGCTTTTGTACAAGGTCCTTTAGTCACAAGCTGAACTGTCTGGCTCTTCTCTCTTAAAGGTAATGAGAACTCCGTCTTCTACCTCTGTGATGACTCAATTTAAGTCTGTCAGGATGACAATCTGAGCACAAGACACTTTAGAAATATGGATCCTTTATTTGCGTTGTCCCACTTAAAGGTCCCATTTATCTTATTTATTTGGGGTTGGTTTTGTGTGTTTGTGAAAGTGTGTGTGTGTGTGTGTGTGTGTGTGTGTGTGTGTGTGTGTGTTTACTGTCAAATCGGTTCTGACTGGTACAGGAGGAGATAGTCCCTCCTTGTCCAGCACCATTTATCTTATTTATTTGGGGTTGGTTTTGTGTGTTTGTGAAAGTGTGTGCGCGCGCGCGCGTGTGTGTGTGTGTGTGTGTGTGTGTGTTTACTGTCAAATCGGTTCTGACTGGTACAGGAGGAGATTGTCCCTCCTTGTCCAGCAGAGCATCTTGTGGATTCAAACCACATACCTCTGGGATTTCAGTGCAGCTTCTTGCCACTAGGCCACCAGAGCTCCCAAAGAAGGTCCCATTTATCTTAATTACATTCTTATCCAGCTACCCAGTCCCCTTGCTGGGTCACAAACACCTCACATTTGCATCGTCCTACCAGCCATATGAGCTCTGGTGGCCCAGTGCTAATAAGCTGTGCAATCCCATAGGCATGAGTTTAAATCCACCAACCACTCCACAGGAGAGGGGTGGGAAATCTCCTCTCATGCCATTCACTGCTTCTGAAAACTCATGGAGGGTCAGCTGTAAGTCAATTCTGACTCAATAACACATGAAAACGACCAGCTCCTCAGTGAGAGTTATAAAGACAATGGCTTAGAATGTTGTTGTTGTTGTTAAGTGCTGTTCGACTCATAGCGACCCTAAGTACAACAGCTCTGAACTCTGCTCTATATTGAGCCAATTACATCGTCTCTCACCTATCTACCCCTATTACACCCATTACCCCAGTCATTGAGTCAATCCATATCATCCAGGGCTTTTCTTGCACTGTCCCTTCACCTCCCAAGCATGTTGTCCCTCTAAGGACTGGTCCTTCCTGTCAACATGTCCAAAATATGTCAGACAAAGCTTCAGAATACTTGCCTCCAAGGAGCAACCGGCTTCACCCTCTCCAGGAAAGACCTGTTTGTTTTCTCAGTAGTCCATAGCCACATCAATAACTCACCACACTTCAGCGTCTTAAGAATAAAACATCTGTTAATATTCTTTTACAAGTATTCCTTTTTCAATTTCTTTTTAAAAGTTTACAAAGCAAGTTAATTTTTCATTCAAGCATTCACAACCGTTAGATTCAGTAACATTACTTTCAATATAATTGTACTTTTCACAATTCCTCCTGTAATTTTCATTTCCATTAATCTTTCTATGCCTTTCTTTGCCTTCCTGTTATTTATTGATAGTGCCCTGATCGTTCCGTTATTAGATTTTGACTGTATGTTCATTCTACTCTTAAAATTTCTCTTATATTAGTACTAAATAACTAAGACAGGGGCACGAGTAATCCCAGTAGAATGTATTTCCTATCCTCCTGGGCATACATCTGGGAGTAGAATGGGTGGGTTACATTTTAACAGCTGTATTGTATTGTTTTATACTCTCACCAGCAACTGCATGAAGGTTCCAAGCATTCACTGTTTAACTCAATGAATAAAGACATTTTAGTCATAGTGAAATATTATCTCACTTTTTACCATTATCTATTATATATGTATTGACTATTTATTTGCCTCGGAGTAACAAACCTCTAATCCAACCAATTCTTTGCCTATTTATTTATTTATTTTTAATTTTATTAATTTTAATGAACATTTATTTACAGAGATTTTGAATTTCCATTCATTTGTTGTTGCACTTTTCTTTGCTATTTTTTTAAACTTTTAAGTCATTGATTGTTGCACTTTTCTCCCTATCCACTCCTCCCCTCCAGTTTGCTCTTCTCTTTGAAAAGTAAAAGAAAAACTCTGTCATTGTTATAAAATCCCTCCCCCCAAAGTCCACTCCACTATGTAGCTTTTGTTCTGGACTCCTGTCATGACAATCATACCTAATCATATATCCCTTTTAAACAGTTCTCTCTCTCTTTGGGTTCCAGCTGCTCTCCCTCATCTCTTTCAATGCAGTATTATCCCATCTTTCTTAGTCTCCCCCGACACTGATGTCAGTCCTGTTTTACAACAGTGGCACAATGCAGTATTTGTCCTTTTGTGACGGATATATTTCACTCGGCATAATGTCCTCCAGGGTTACCCATTTTGTATAATATTTCATGAGTTCCTTGGTTTTCAATGTGTATTTGCCCGTTTTTTAAATTAAGACATTTCATTTTAATGCTGGATTCTCAGAGTTCAGTCTACACTTTAGATACAAGTTCCTTAATAGATATGATTTCTAAATGTCCACTCATATTCTGTAGCTTTTTCTACCACTTTCCGTTTAGTGTCCTTGAGTAACAAAAGCTTTGAATTACTGAAGTCTCAGTTATCTAATTTATCATCATATCTAAGAACTCTCTAGCTAGTTAAAGTAAAAAAAAAGTATGTTTTAACTGTTTTTTTCCTAAGAGTTTTAGATTTAGCTCTTACACTTAAGTCTGTAATTTTTGTTGCATATTATGTGATTATGATAAAGGGCTCAACTAGATTCGTTTTAACCACACTCATACAGATCAGTTCTATCAGGTTAAACATCTTCTTTGCGCAATCCTTTTAAAGCAGTACCTTCTTACTCTGCCCAGAAACCACAGATAACATTGTACCTTATTGTAAATTCTCTTTCAAAATAGAAAAAGAATTGCTCATTTTCCAGTTCTCCTGAGATAATGGAGGAGACGGTTTCTTTTCGCAAGACAGTTTACGTTACCCATATAAACATCTTTTATATTAACTCAGCTAAAATACATTTGCTTTTGCAGAACCCCAACTGCCGCGCTGCGCACAGGATCAGCATAGCTCAATTAGATCCGAGAAAAATGTACAGGGGGCAAAATGTGTAGTGGCCCAGGCTCTCATCTGTGAGTTTTCCGTTCTCCATGAACTGGATGAAATTTGCTACTAACTTCGAGGACTTCGTCATGAGAAAAATGACCACAGAGGTCATCATGAGAAAAATGACCACAGAGGTCATGTGCTCGAGTTTAAGGGACCAACTGAGTCCTTGATAACCTCCGTCACGTTTCCAGTCAAAGTAAAATGAGATTGACTAGATGGTCAGCAGCCTCTCATAAGGGGTGCACTGACGCTGGGGTAAACTAGGGCGCCTACTTAGGGAATCCAGTGCCGTCCGGTTGAGTCCGACTCCATGGAGTCAGAGCTACCTGGTTTCTGAAGCGGTAAATTTTTGCAGAACCATCATGCTCCTACAGAGCATCAGCTGCACTGGAGCTGATTAATAGGACAAACGTATCGACCTTAAAGGTCTTTGCAACAAATGCACCCGCGGAGGTTTACACGCCCACCGGAAATAGATGTGGCGTCATCACACGCGCCGAGGGGCGGGCCGGAAGTGGGCTTGTGTCGGCGTCCCTGACTTTGAGGCCGGTGGCGGTTCTTCTCCTTCGCTCCGGAGCGCTGTCTGTGTGCTCAACAGCTATTTGAAGGGGGGAAACTGGAGATTGTGGCCACAGTGGCCGTTGTCCGGTAATTAGCGGGGTCGGTCCGAAGCGACTCTGGAGCGGCCAGGGCCACTCTTCAGGCCGGCGGGATTTGGGACCGAAGTTCTGACTTCGTTTCCCGGGCCGAGGTTTGGATAAAGCGAGCGAGACCCTCGAGAGTCCGTGGCCCAGATTGTTTTATTTGTTTGTTTGTTTTGGTTTTTTTTATTATTACCCTGGAGGAAAGGCGGGATAGGAAAGGTCGGGCCTGCGTAGGGCCCTGGGTGGCATTCGTGCAGTGGTGGAGGGCTGGGGGATGAAGCGTGTTGGGGTCAAAGGCATTAGGTAAGACACAGCCTTGAGTTCCTGATTTGCAGGGCCTGACACGGTTCTTTCATCCCTGAGTTGTGCAGGAATTTTTGTTGTTGTTGTTGTTTTTAATTATTAAATTTTATTAATTTTAATGAACATTTACAGAGATTTGGGGTTTTCATTCATTCATTGTTGCACTATTTTCTCTACCCTCCTCCCCAGTCCGTTCTTCTTTTTTTTTCCGCCCTTGAAAGTCTGTTTTAATTGTCCAATTGCCACAGTGCTTGTCAAAGCCAGTTCTGATTAATCTCCTTTGTCAGTGTGTCCTTTGCCATTCCCTATCACTCCTCCCTGAGAGAGACTTCACCCTGATTCATAAGGAAAAGGGGATGGCGTATTCTCTTAGCTACTTCCTGCTGAAAAGGGACACTGTAGGTTTCAGGGTGAAGATCATCTCTCACTACTCTAAAGGGCCACTTTGGCAATAGGAAAGATGTAGACTATTGTGGAGATTGATTTTGGAATTTAGATGCAATTTAGATGCACTGTTATCAATTGTGCTTAGCTATCATGTTCATGTCCTTGAAGATGTATCATGGAATGTATCATGGAATTTTATTATTTTATGTGTGTGTACCATCAAATCGAATCTGACTGGTACAGGAGGATATTGCCCCTCCTTCTCCAGCAGAGCATCTGGTGGATTCGAACCATGCGCCTCTGGTATTGCAGTGCAGCTTCTTACCACTCGGCCACCAGAGCTCCCTTGAATTTATTTTTTTAATGGAGGTGATTGCCCTGGAAGAAACGGTTGCCTAACATCCCCTGTTGGTGCAGACTTCTTTATGCAGGGCACATACTTAAGACAACTATTTATCCTTTCAAGGTCCCGATGAGGGCAAATCTCTATCTTTGTTATTTCTTCCTTCGAAGTTTCAAAAATAACCTAATCCAACAGCGGGGTCCCTCGTTGGCACCCTTTCCCTTCCCATCCTGGCCCCAGGTTATCCCCTGCTGCTGCATTTATATTTTAGGCTGGTTGGGCTCCCCACGCTTCGGTGACTCTGTTTGCAAAGGCTTTGGGACGGAAGCCCTCGCTTAGTTTCCTGGTCTGAGGTCTGGATAAAAGCAAGCGCTGTCCTCACTGGTCTATGACCCAGATTGTTTTTGCTCTCGCGGAAAGGAGGGACATCCACACATTTGGGCATCTTGGCCACCTTTCTGCGTTCTTCTCTCTGTTCTCCCCTCACCCTGAACCCCCATACAGTCAGGTGTGTGTAATTCCCATCCAGCTCCTGTATACCTTCCTGTATCCAGTGAGTGCTTTGTTTGGTACACTTCTCTTAAGATTTTATTTTATCTTAAATAGCTTTTTTACTTGATAAGTCTTTCGAAAGTTTTAAGTACAGACTTTAGTGGAAATTCCTGTTTATAAGATCGTGAGTGGTCTTTGCATAATGTGCAAATCAAATACTTGCATGGGTTGCGTTGTAGGGGATACATACCTGTAGGAGGTGCGTATCTGTAAGGAGGGAGCAGGAGTTGAATGAGTGTCACGTGAGAAGACAGGATCTCTGCTGGAGAAACACGACTTTCTCAGTAAAGGATCTTTCTTCACTCAGCAGGTCCTGGGCACATGGAAACCAGAGGGGCTCTCATCATTGAGGTTTGAAGACTCCCAAGTCAGCCGAGTCCTGCCTGGAGACGAAATGAGTTCCTGCTGATGCTCTGTAGAATCTGAAGGCCCCACTCTAGGATGGTTGTCTGCCAGCCTTTTCTGTCTGAGAAGACCATTATTGGAGGATGAGTTTGGCTTCACAGAATAGAGGCGCCATGGAGACCATGACGAAATTGAATCAAGACCACAAGGCAAAAGGTCAGAGTTGTAGAGATGGACTGAGAGCCCAGGCCAGGCAAGAATGCCTTAGTAGCCACGGCTGAGTAAAGTGGCTCCTTCCTTCCACCTCCTGTTCAGAACAGCGACTCTGGAAGTAATGATGGGGACATTTGTTTTCTCACTCGTTCCTTTTATTCCCTCAGGTTTGTCCTCTCAACGTACTGACTGGCCTCAAGAAAAAACGAAGCCCAGATTACTGGTGAGTTGAAATTGTCAACTCCCAACTGTTTCTGAAAGACTGACTCATTTCCCAGCGAATAGGCATATACTCTGTCTTGGGAAGGTAGGATGTGATTAGCATTTAGACATTTCATGGCATCCTGTCAAGTACCATATTAGGTTTAAAGTATTTGGGAAGTTTCTGTATTTTACCCAAAATATACTTTATAGGGAGCATTCATACCTAAACACTTTTATTGCCATCAAGTTAAAACTGATTTCTAGATAATCCTGCATTGAGTTTGCAGGAATCTAAATTATGCTAAATTACCCATGTTTTCAAACTGACAGTGAAGCATGACTTTTGCCTTAGAAACACAACTCCTTGATGATTTTACCATCAGAGCTGCAATACTAGGAAGCTGTATCAAGAGAGAAAAGAAATGAGAGATCGATTTATTTTAAAGAAATGGCTCTTTCTAGAATCGGGCAATCTCAGGTCTGTAAAATCCCAGGAGATGTGTCGAGGGTGAGTGATGAGTTCCAAGTTGTCAACAGACAGGGACTCAGACTGTTGTCTTCAGAAACTGAGACCTGAAGGTGTTGGCTAGCAGTTCAAAGACTGGGTTCCAATCGGTAGATCATGAAAAAGATGCAGGATCAGGTCAACACCTCTCTAGCTTTGCTAGAGTGCAGGCCGCATCCTTGATGAGACTGCCCCTTCAGCAGACCATGCTGATCACATGTCTGTAGAACCACCTGTAATCCAGCCTCAGGAACATCATAGGTGTTAGATTTATGATGCCTAAGTCAGTTTAAGAGACTAAGGTGCACCTGATCCAGGCCATGAGCTTCACAATTAACTTGGTATGCATCAGAAAGTTGGACAGTGACTAGGGATGATAGGAGAGTGAATGCCTTTGAGCTGTGGTGCTGGCGAAGAATATCGAGTGTACCATGGACTGCTAGGAAAACAAACAGGTTTGTCCTAGAAAGGGTGAAAGCAGGCTTCTGCTTGGAGGCAAGGGTTCTGAAGCTCCTTCGGACATACGTTAGGCGTGATGCAAAGAGGGACCAATCCTAGGAGCAGGACAGCATGCTTAGAAGGATGAAGGGACAGCACAAAGGAGGAATACTCTGGGTGAGATGAATTGACTCAGTGACTGGGGTAGATGTCTCAGACAGTGAGGTTGGCATAATATTGTGCATAGGGTCACTATGAAGGTGCAAGTGACTTGACGGCTCTTAACAACAAAGTAATTATAGTATATGGAGGATCCTGTTCCTGTTGATAAACAATATTAACCACCATCCCGAAGATAAAAGCAGTTTTTTTTTAAAAACTGACATTAAAAAAACCTGACATTATTGCCGTTGTTAATGTGTAACTCAGTTTCACTATACTTCTGTATACATGCTATCTAGTAATTCAGATTCATTTGCTGTGATTGAGAGTCATCTCAGTGACAGTCCATGACTGAGCAGCATTTGATGTTTGCTATAAGCAGTTTGTCAAAGCCCCTTCACCATATGGCTGTGTCAGCAGGCTGTGGAGCATGCTCTAGTGCAGAGAGAAAGGTCCATAACCTGGCTAAGGAAAGAAGGACAGGAGAAGCTGCAGGGGACTTCACACACTGGGGTTGGGAAGAGAAATACAGCTTAGCATGATCCTGGTTGGGAGATGGTGGGCTGAGTGGCTCTGCTAGGTGGGAGATTGTGATACCAGGATTTACAACACGGCTTGACTCCGACCCTACTGCTCTCACGATGTTGAAGTGTCCTTTTTCTGGACTATTACTGCTTTCTGTTGTCACAGATTAAACATAAATAGTACCCTACCCGAGAAGGACGTTTGAAGGACTTTATTAGACAAGATAATTAAAATATCTAAACTCAAAAACAACTATGATATATCATCCCACCCCAGCAACAACAGCAAAATTCAACAGGGCAGCAAATAACAAATGCTGACAAGGTTGTAGAGAGATTGGAGCTCTTTTTTACTGCTGTTGGGAGTATAAAATGGTGCAACCACTATAGAAGGCAATCTGGCATTTTCTCAGAAAGTTGGAAATAGAAATACCATTTGATCCAGCAAGTCCACTACTGGGAATATACCCTAAAGAAACCAGAGCTGCTCTCAAACAGATACATGCACACCCATGGAAGCAGCCCAACTGCCAGTTAACAAATGAAATGGATAGAAAAACTGTAGTATGTTCACACAATGGAATGTTATGCAACATTGAAAAACAATGAACTTGTGAAGCACTACATAATATAGGAGAGCCTGAAGGACATTGTACTCAAATACTTCAGTCACAAGAGGACAAATACTAACACTGCTGTTGTGAAATAGAACTGGCGGGTTGGAGAAAGAATAGGAAAAGAATAGATAGAAAATAACACTGCATTGAAAGATGAGGGGGAAGCACTGTTTGAAAAGAATATATGAAAAAAAGAGAGAATATGTGATAAATTTAACAACAGTCTTGAAAAAGAGGTGCATTGCAGAGTGGACTGCAGGAGAGAGTAGGGAGGAGGAGGGAGGAAAATGCAACTATTAATAATGAAAACTCAACCTTTATGTAAGCTGTTAAAATCACAGTTGAAAAGAGCCACAGCAAAACATTGTCCTAGAGTTAAGCTCTTGCAGAAGTTATTGGGATTTAATTGCTGAAAAGTCTCCTGAGTGGAAGTGGTGTGATCTGATGCACCCTAAGGAACCCCACTAAAGATACTTACCCGGGAGGAGCTTCGTAGTACACCTAATGCTTGGTGACTTGCCCCATATCACAGAGCCACGAAGTTCAGAGCAAGTGTTTGAACCTTAAAAACCCCAAAGAATAATTTTACACATCACACTGAGTTGTCTGAGCTCTTCAGAAATGCTGCTTCCAGATCCCATCCGGTTACTTCCACTTTGTCTGTCATTGTAGTTCTATCTTCCTCTTTAATTACAGACTAGACCTGAATCCTTAGTATAAGCTCCACTTTAATGATGTCTCATGTTCTTCTCGAGCCCCGCCTATCCTTTCCCATCTCTGAATTTCACCATTCAGATTTTTCAAAGTCTCTTCTTGAACACTGCTTACTGATGCCACATTGGTTCACACTTTATTTCTCCATGAAGTCATAAATGATTAATGGGCCAGGGTGTGGTTTTTTTGTTACTGTTCTCCATTGACTTTATCACAAAGTCTGGGATACGATCTTATCCTTGTTGTTACGTGCCATTTGCGACTCATAGCGACCCTATGTACAAGAGCCCTAAATGCTGTTCTATCCTGTGCCAACCTCGCTGTCTCAAACACATTCATTCCTACCACTCCACTCACAGAATCAATCCATCTCATTGAGGGTCTTCCTCTCCTGTGCCGTCCCTCCACTCTCCCAAACATGATGTCCCTCTCCAAGGACCAGTCCCTCCTTGAAACGTGCCCAAAGTATGTCAGATGAAGCTTCAGAATCCTTGACTCCAGGGAACATTCCGGCTTCACCCTCTCCAGGACAAACCTGTTTGTTCTCCTAGCAGTCCATGGTATATTCAACACTCTTCTCCAGCACCACAACTCAAAGGCATCAATTCTCTTTCTATCATCCCTATTCACTGTCCAACTCTCCCATGCATAGCACGTAATTGTGAAGACTATAGCCTGGATCAGGTGCACCTTAGGCTCCAGCCTGACGTTGTTGCACTTCTGTACTCTTGAGAGGTCCCCTCACAGCTGACTTTCCCAATGCAGTTCATCTCCTGAGAATTGTATTCTCTGAAAAGCATTGGATTAGGGGAGCTCTGGTGGCTTAGTGGCAAGAAACTGAACTGCAATCCCAAAGGAACACGGTTCGAATCCACCAGACGCTCTGCCGGAGAAGGAGGTGCAATATCCTCCTGTACCAGTCAGATCTGATTTGACGGTACACGTACACAAAATTAAAAAAAAAAAAAAAAAAAAGCATTGGATTACATTCTCAGATGCAGACTCTTCAGGACCACAGTTACATTTCTGGTCATTGGGAAGAATGATGGTGATGTATTGTTTTAGGAACCTGTTACGTTTGAGGATGTCAGTGTGGTCTTCACAGAGGCAGAATGGAAGACGCTGAGCTCTGAGCAGAGGATCTTGTATAAAGAAGTGATGCTGGAGATGTACAGGAATCTCCTCTCCTTGGGTGAGATAATGTTCCTTTCATTTCCTTCATTAATTGAAATCGATCTGTATTGAGTACTTACTATGTGGCAGAGGCATTTTGGTGGAGCAGTGGGTACACACTTAACTACTAACAAAAAGTTGAGCATTTCCAAAGTATCAGCCAGTCTGCAGCAGATAAAAGTTGTGGTCTGTTTCTGAAAAGAATAACGGCTCTGGAATCCCGATAGGGAAGTTGTAATGTGTCATAGAGGGTTCACTATAGATTGAAATCACATCTTTGGGACAGATTTTTCCATTGGCTTGTTTTCAATATGCCAAAACGTCCTGGGTGATGTAAATGCTATTTGCTCAAATACTAACCTGAAGATCGATGGTTCAGATACATGCAGTGTTATTGTAGAAGAACGATTAATGATCTTCTTCTGTAGTGATTACAACCAGTGAAACCATCAGATAAGACAGTTACCTCTCCATTTCCCTAAAGCAAGAGAGCAAGGAAAGGAAGGAAGATGAGAAGTTGGAATGTGTGGCCAATTGACCAAGAACAACTGGTTCTTTTGAGAGATCATAACTGGATAGTGTCTGGCTACCACTACTGAACATTTTGTGCAAAGATTCCATAGAAGAATCCTGAGCAAAAGGGATTAAATACAGAGCAGAATTTCACATTCTCAACCTGCACAGTCAGGAGGCACTGAGTGAGCTGTCATGCACTGAAGAAGGGAGACTGCCAGCATGTGTTCTGATTCTTAGTTGTAGCCTATCTCTCGCTCCTCATGCTGAGTTGTACCCTTTGCTCTCTTCATAACGTGCTTTACTGTAAGTACAGTGTGTGAGTTCCGAGTAGCTGCTGCAGAGACTTCCCCAGAGGAGAAGCAGAGAATGACGTGGGGAGCATGGGGTGTCAGACTGGCAAGGAGAATGCAAGGAAGAGGTGGCTCTGGTCCCTGCCTTCTCAGAGTCACCTTAGGCCAATCCAGACCATTAGGTTCCTTCTCTACTGCTGTCCCATTTTCACACCTGTGAATGCATGATTTTTTTATGTCTGTCAGTACCAATTTCTATGATAAGAAAAATATCAAAGGAAATTTTCATAGAAGTCACAGTACTGTCCTTTTCAAGTCTTAGCGAAGTGTTATGGGCAGTGTGTGATTGTGTTGGTAGCCTTTTGCTAATGGTTTAATGCTTAACTGTATGTGTCCCTCAGAGACCGCAGGCAAGAAGACAGCATGGCGTCTATCTCTCTAACAGAAAACTTTCTCTCTTCAGCAGGAGCAATGCCACAGATCTACTCCTGTTTCTCCTGCCTTCTGGCTTTCTCTTGTCACCAGTTCCTCAGCCAGCATGTGCTGCAGACCTTCCCAGGCTTATACGCAGACCATCACTGCCACCCTGGGGGATCCAGCCCAGGGCGGCAGAAGCCATATGAGCAGCAGGATTCTAATGAGAGATTTTGGAGTGAAAGTCCAGAAGTTAGCACAACGCTGGACTTGGAGGCTGACTCAGCCCAGAGATTTGGAGCAGTCACCTACAGTGTGGATGACCCAGACTATGGGCTGAAGCCAGACTTCACCACAAGCCTCTTCCAGGAGAAGCCTAGCATTTGTCGTGAGTGTGGACAAGTGTTTAAATACAAGTCAACTCTGATCAGACACCAGAGGATCCACTCAGGGGAGAAACCGTATGTGTGCAAGGAGTGTGAACGAAGCTTTACTCAAAAGTCCTCTCTTCTCACACACCAGATGATACACGCAGGGGAGAAGCCTTACATGTGCAAGGACTGCGGACGAGGCTTTACCCAGAGGTCACAGCTCCGCACACACCAGTGGACACACGCTGGAGAGAAGCCTTACATGTGTGTGAAGTGTGGGCAAGGCTTTACGCATAAGTCACATTTCATCAGACACCAGAGGGTACACTCAGGTGAAAAACCTTACGTGTGCCTGGAGTGCAGGCGAGGCTTCTCCCGAAAGTCAGTCCTCCTCCTGCACCAGCGGACACACTCAGGGGAGAAGCCACATGTGTGCAAGAATTGTGGGCGTGGCTTTACCCAGAGGTCGAATCTCATCACACACCAAAGGATACACTCAGGTGAGAAACCTTTCCAGTGTCTGGAGTGTGGGCGTGGCTTCACCCAGAGGTCAAATCTCATCACACATCAGAGGACACACTTAAGTGATAAACCTTACACTTGCCCAGAATGTGGCTATGGCTTCACTCAAAGTTCATCTCTCCTCAGACACCAAAGGTCGCACTCTGGGGAGAAACCTTTTGTGTGCCCAGAATGTGGGCGTGGCTTTACCCAGAAGTCAAATCTCATGACACACCAGAGGACACACACCCAGGAGAAGCCTTACATGTGCCTGGGATGTGGACGCGGCTTTACCCGGAAGTCAAACCTCGTCAAACACCAGAAGACCCACTCAGTGGAGAAGAGGATTTAAGGAGAAGAATCCTCTTTGGGCACCAGCAGCCTTTTTCCTTAGAAGCCTGTTTTTGCCTTGGAGGTCTACACAGTAACACATTGTGGTTGGGAAACCTTTAGTGGGACATGTCCAGAGGGATCTCTCACGCTAAGGTTTGTGGTATGAGGCCTTTTTTTCCAGGTTCCCTTACTCAAGGCCTCACTCAATGGTGACGTACACTGAAGACTGGTTGCCACTAAAGAGAGGCAGAAAATGTAGCCAGGCACTGGAAACCACTCCAGTCACTAGTAGGCTGAACCAGAGAACTCAGGGACAAAAGCCGCTCATACAGGATCTGTTTGCAGACTTTTATGCCAGCATCCCTCCTCAACAAACGAGGCCAATGTGTTGCGCACTCCAGTGGTTGCTTCACCAGCTCTGAGGGACTGCTGGCAGGGTCTCCTAACCACTTGGAATTTGTGCAAGGATGAAGCTGCCAGCCATAGCCAACTTGAAAACTTTCCCACATTATCCAGCATTCAAACTGAAGGGGGCAAAGGAGAAAACTTTCTAGTGGTTAGCATGACTTATTTGCATATACCATGGATAAATCTTGGGGCCATTACCTAGCATAAAATAAATCAGTCAAAAAAGGACAAATAATATACATTAAATCTTGAAAACAAAAAAATGAAACCCAAACCAAAAGCTAACAGTAAGTTTAGAAAGAATCATGGGAGTAAGGTGATCAGGTAGAAGGGAGGGGAAAGGGGGTAGAAAGAAATTGGTGCATCATAATAGAATATTTTTTTTTATCCTTTACCCAACTTAGTGAAGAAAAAGACATGGTTTGGATTCATCATCAGATGTAGGTATTGTAATTCATGTTACGGAGGAAAATGTGCATAAATACTTGAAAACCTTACATGGTTTGTAAATTTCAGTTAAGCACAAGAAAAAGATAGTCAAGGCAAAATGAGAGAGTATTTCAAAATGACTGTCAAGTCTGCAGAGAGAGAAGCAGTTAAGGGTAAGGAAGCCTCATATATTGCTGATGGAAGTAGAAAATGATGCAACTGCTGTAGGAAAGATGCTGACATTTCCATGTGGGACAGTTATATAACCCAGCAGTTCCGCTCACAGATAGATGCCCAAAAGAATCAGAGAGTCTGCTAACATTAGTCATGTCCCGGTTCAAGTTCTCTAGTGCTGATATAAAGGAAATTGGAAGGGAAAGGCAGTATCTAGTCAGGGGATGAGTAGCACAGTGTCAGTAAAGAAAGAAGATGCAGGAAGGATGCAAGATTGGTGGAAATTAGAATTGCAGGATGTGGGGGAAAGTGCAATTATGTTGTGGGTGTTGAAATTATTTCTACTGAACAAAACCCATGAGTAGTTGAATGAAAAGGGTTTGCTTTGTAAACATTCACTCAAATAACTAAAAAGTAAGTTGAAAATATTTGTGAAAGAATATTCTAAACCGTTGTCTTTGTAATTCATTCACTACACGGCTGGGTGGGAGTTTGCAAGTGTGAGGTGTTCATGGGTCTCCCAACCTGCAGGAAGACTACACAGCTTGCTAGGAACGTGCATAAGGTAAATGGCACCTTTTGGGTGAGAATATACAAGTAAGAACTGTGAATATTGGTCACTTTGCCATCCTGTTGTTGTTGTTGTTATGTGCCATCGAGTCGTTTCCGACTCATAGCGACCCTATGCATAACAGCTCTAAACCCTGCTCTATCCTGCGCCAACCGCACCGCCTCTGACACACCCATCCCGATTACCTCAGTCACCGAATCAATCCATCTCATAGAGGGTCTTCCCCTCCTGCGCTGTCCCTCCACCCTCCCAAGCATGATGTCCCTCTCCAAGGACCCGTCCCTCCTGGCAACATGTCCAAAGTATGTCAGACGAAGCCCCAGAATCCTTGCCTCCAAGGAGCAGCTTGGTTTAATCCTCTCCAAGATGGATCTGTTTGTTTTCCTGGCAGTCCAGGGTACATTCAGTACCCTTCTCCAGCACCACAGCTCAAAAGCATCCACTCTCCTTCTGTCCTCCCTAGTCATTGTCCAACTCTCTGATGCATAACAAGCGATTGCAAAGACCATGGCCTGTATCAGGCGCACCTTAGTCTCCAGAGAGACACTGTTGCTCCTGAGTACCTTTGAGAGGTCCCTAATGGCAGACTTTCCCATCGCGATACGCTTTTTGATTTCCTGACTGCTGGTACCAAGAGTGTTAACTGTGGAGCCGAGCAAAGTGAAGCTGTGAACACTCTCAATCTCTTCATCATCCATCCTGACGCTGCCAATTGGTCCAGTGGCGAGAATCTTTGTCTTCTTGACGTTGAGCCTTAGTCCATACTGAAGGCTGCAGTCCTTGACCCTTTGCAGCAAGTTCATGAGGTCCTCCTCAGTTTCAGCAAGCAAGGTTGTGTCATCTGCATAACGGAGATTGTTGATAGATCTTCCACCAATCCTGATGCCACAATTCTCCTCATAGAGCCCAGCCTCTTGGATAATCTGCTCTGCATACATGTTGAAAAGGTATGGAGACAGGATGCATCCCTGGCATACACCCTTCCCAATTTTGAACCATGCAGTGTTACCCTGCTCTGTTCTGACTACTGCCTATTGGTCCAAGTATAGGTTTCGTATTAGCACAATTAAATGTTCTGGGATTCCCATTCTTCTCAGAGTCAGCCACAGTTTGTTATGATCCACAAAGTCAAATGCCTTTGCATAATCAATGAAACAGATAGACATTCTTCTGGTATTCCCTGCTTTCAGCCAATCCTGGCAGGCTTAAATTGAGCCATCGCAGAAATGGAGATTAGGTATATCACTATCATCAAGAGAGAAGAAGCAGAGAAAGCAACAGATTCTTGTACAAACCAGAGGAGCTGTGACACTGAGATGGGCATGATGGGATGAGTTTAAAAGTGATGGCGGCAGTAGAATGATAGACGGGTGTGTGAGCAGTGACCCCAGCCCTGGAAGCAAGACAACTTGAGTGCTTGTTGGCAGAGTGGATGGCCTCATTCCTGGGGAGTTTGATGTGCTGACCAGTAGCTAGAGAGGGGCCTGGCTGTGAGCACACCTGAGGACAGCCTGTTCTGACCGAAGTCCTATCCTGTGAGTTAAAACCTAAAGGAACTAGACAATAATATTAGTAAACCCTACCATTGTGGGAAGTGGGGAAAGTGGATACTTTTAAAAATAGAAACTTGTTTTCTCACCCTTTAGAAAGCCAGAATTGTGAGTTCTGGACCATGTCTTACAGGAAGGCTTGCTTTCTCTGTTGGCACTGAGGATGGGTTGGTTGCAACATGAGCTCTGGAGTGCCTTGTATGTTTTCATGTGTCTTGGCATTTATCGGTTCAAGCTTGTTACTGTCTGCTTTCACTTGCTGCTCAGAAGTGCTGCAGGGCCCTGCTGGGTGTACTTTCTTTGAGCAGAATCTGTACTCAGATCAATCTACTGGAGGACGAGGGGCTTTGATAGCAAAACTTCCTGAGCATCCAGTCAGAGTTAGACAACACTCCATCCAGTAACTCTTAGTTCCCAAGTGGTTGCAAAAAGCTATAGAAAGCTCCTACATTCAGTGTTCTACCTTCTGCCCTATGAGACAATTGTTCAGGCCCCTGAAAGCAATGAGATAAGAGCCCCTGTCTACTCCCCCTGTGACTGTCACAGAGGCCTGCTGGTGGAGGATGTGACTAACAAGGCTACATCCACAAACAGAATAGGATGGTCAGCTGGAGGACTCCTAATGATGGGGGCAACAACTTTGGGTTAGCAACAAAACTCCATGAAAGCCGCATTGAAGGCACGGCCAGAAATAAGCCTCCAGGAATTGACGGAATACCAGCTGAGGTTTCTCAACAAACGGATGCAGCCATGGACTTGCCTTCTCGTCTGCAAATAAGTATGAAAGACATTTATCTAGTCTACTGGAAGAGATCCATGCACCCACTAAAAAATAATATCCTTTTGTGACAGATATTTCACTCAGCATCATGTCCTCCAAGGTCACCTATTTTGAATAATACTGCTTGAGTATTATTGCCTTCTGACTTTGTGCCGTCACCAATTACTCCACAGACACGTGGTACAGATCTTCCCAGATTTATATGCATAAAATAACTTCCACCCAGGGCCCCAAAAGCAACATAAATGAGCAAGATTCTGCTGCTGAGAGCTTGGGAAGTGAAAGAAACCCAGGAGAGAGAAGTCATCGAACCGTTATGTGAGAGGACAGGGAAGAGACAGACTTCAAGGATGTTGTTTCTCAATACAGCTTAACAGTATTCCATTGTTTGAACATACTAGAGCTTTTCTATCCATTCCTTTGTTGATAGGCACTTGGGTTGTTGCCAGTTCTTTGCTGTTATGAACAAAGTAGCAGTAAACATGGGTTTGCATGGGAGGGGGGCAGGGGGCACAGGGAGAACGCATGGGGCGGGCTAGAGGGAGAAGGAGCAAAGGCTTTGAAGGTTGTACTACCAGGATTTTTTTCTGCATTGCAGTATGAAGTGTAACTGTAAAACCAGACTGTAAATGTATTACTTACTGGAAACAACTTGTGTTCTCTGAATAGACCTAAGTGTGGAAACAAGATTGTTGGACTTGTCATCAGTTTGATACTGACTTGTGGGGATCCCATGACTAAATGGAAACCAGAAGTGTGATATAGGATAAAGGCTTTGCTCTTTTGATAGTCAGTCACCAGGTCTTTCTTACAAACCATTATCCTTTTAGCTAGTGGTCAAGCACTTAACTGTGGACCCTGCAACAGTGCGAGGTGTGTGTTACAAGAAAAGGAATATGACCCAGGTAAACCCAGCTGCTCAAGTGGGGAACTTTCTCTCTTCAATGGAACAAAGCCAAAAATCTCTTCCTGTTCCTCTTACCTTCTGACTTTCTGCTGTCACCAATTCCTCCACAAACACGTGGTACAGATCTCCCCAGATTTATATGCAGAAAATAACTTCCACCCAGGGCCCCAAAAGCAACACAAATGAGCAAGATTCTGCT